CCTGCTTCTTGGCAGGGGGTTGGACTGGATGGCCCATGAAGTCTCTTTCAACACTATGAAACACACACCACAGGGGTGCTCACCCTTCCCTATGCTATATACAGATATAGCTATCTGGAGATGGGGCTGGAGTTATACCTTTAAACATCCCTGTTCCGACCTACAAACAAATTCAATTTAAGAACAAACCAACAGAGCCTATCTTGTTCCTAACTTGGGGACTGGTTGTAGTTTACACAGGCATCTATAGCCCTTCTTTTTGCAGAGGATGAGCTTGAGATATATCAGGCAGTCCATATACTGGAGTGTTGCTTTCCTTTTGTGAATGTCTGGGGGTTTTTTTGGGGGGGGGGTGTCGTGTCAGGAGCGACTTGAGAAACTGCAAGTCGCTTCTGGTGTGAGAGAATTGGCCGTCTGCAAGGACGTTGCCCAGGGGATGCCCGGATGATTTGATGTTTTATCATCCTTGTGGGAGGCTTCTCTCATGTCCCCTTCTCTCATATCTTACAGAACAGATTGGAAAGAATTTTTGGAATCTTCAGTGTTAGTGAGAACAGTGGTGTCGGTCACTCCGCATGAGGAGCTGGAGCTAGTAGAGGGAGCTCATCCACTTCTTCCCGGATTCAAACCTGCGACCTGTCAGTCTTCAGTCCTACCGGCACAGGGGTTTAACCCACTGTGCCACCGGGGGCTCTTGTGTGTCTGGTGTTGCACTTTCAAAAGCCCCTGCTCTCCGACTTACAAACAAATTTGACTGAAGAGTGAACCGACAAAGCCTAACTTGGGGGACTGCCTGCCCTCTATAGACTGTGGGGTGGAGAGAGGAAGGGACTCTCTGAAACATGAAGAAATGATATCTAAGAGCGTGTGAGGAAATGCTGGGGGTTGCCTGAACGGAGCTTTGCAGGCGCCCAGGCTTCCCAAACCAGAAGCCTCACTCCCTTTGAAAAGATTCTCCTCAGCCTGAGTGTGGTTTTGGGTGCCCTGCCTTTCCCGCTTTTTTCAGACACTTGAGAGGCGGCAGCCCGGGCGTTTGGGGCTGAGGCACGAGAGGGCTGTCTCTCGCGCGCCTCGAAGCCAAAGGAGGGGAACTGGCAGGCTGAGGCGGTTGGTGCCTCTCTCTCTCTCTCTCTCGATGCCGCAAGGCTGGCCCCTGCCAAAAAGGAAGGAGGGAGGGAGGGGAAGAAGGGGCTGCTGCTGTTTGCTGGGAGCTGGCCAGGCAGAGAGGACAACGGGAGAGGAGAAGCGGGGAAACCTTTCTTTCCCTGCTCAAGGAAGGCGACTGAATGCAAGGCGCCCTCCGCCAGTAGCACACCCTACGCTGTCGCGCGCTCGCGCTCTCGCTCTCTCAAGACCGCAACCGCCGCCGGACTCGTAGCCGCGCCTAGCTCATCCATGTCTCTCCTCTCCTCACGGCCACGGGTTCGAGTCCAGCTTAGTCGTGATTTCCTTTTTTTTAAAAATGCACATCCTGGCAAGATGATTGCGGAAATGCTTCATCTTGCAGTCAGTCCCAAGCCCGCTTTTTTTTTTAATTAAACTGGTTGCAAAAGCCAAGGAAAATGATGTGATTATGGAAGGAAGCTAAGCAGGGCCGGCCCTGGTTAAGACTTGGATGGGGGACGTGGAAGCAATGGAGAGCAGGAGGAGTAAAGACAAAGCTAGGTTGTTGTAGGTTTTTCGGGCTCTATAGCCATGTTCTGGAAGCATTCTCTCCTGACGCTTCGCCTGCATCTATGGCAACCATCCTCAAGAGGTTGAGACCTCGCAACCTTTGTTGTTGTAGGTTTTTCGGGCTATATGGCCATGTTCTGGAAGCATTCTCTCCTGACACTTCGCCTGCATCTATGGCAAGCATCCTCAAGAGGTTCAGACCTCACAACTTGTGTTGTAGGTTTTTCGGGCTATATGGCCATGTTCTGGAAGCATTCTCTCCTGACGCTTCGCCTGCATCTATGGCAAGCATCCTCAAGAGGTTGAGACCTCGCAACCTGTGTTGTTGTAGGTTTTTCGGGCTATATGGCCATGATCTAGAAACATTCTCTCCTGATGCTTCGCCTACATCTATGGCAAGCATCCTCAGAGGTTGAGACCTCGCAACCTGTGTTGTTGTAGGTTTTTTGGGCTATATGGCCATGATCTAGAAGCATTCTCTCCTGACATTTTGCCTGCATCTATGGCAAGCATCCTCAGAGGTTGTGAGTTTTTATAATACTGGTAAAAAAAACTGTCTAAAATCAAGACAGTAAAAAAAGAACACTCAGAAAACAGGGGAATTCCAATCAGGGCCAGCTAACTCCCCCCAACAAAGGGTTTCCCCAGACAGCAACCAGCCAGGCATTGAAGCTGCAAGGCCATTCAATGCTAATCCCCCATCATCCTCGGACTACAAGGAATTGCCTAAGTAAGTAAGGCATTGAAGCTGCAAGGCCATTCAGTGCTAATCAAGTTGGCCAATTACAACATTCACACGTGCCTCAAGCGGACAAGAATTCTTTCTCCCACCCTGGACATTATTCCATAGATATATAAACCTCACTTGCCTAGTTTCCAACAGACCTCACAACCTCTGAGGATGCCTGCCATAGATGCAGGCAAAATGTCAGGTGAGAATGCTTCTGGAACATAGCCAGATAGCCTAAGAAACTTACAACACCCCAGTGATTCCAGCTACGAAAGCCTTCGACAATACAAAGACAAAGCTCTTTTGGTAAACATCCCTAGGAATGCGAGGGGAGAGGAATCCCTCACTCTAATCCTATCTGTAGTGTGGCTCCTCATTGAGGTCTGGAGACTTGATGACACGAGAGACTTGTGTATGCCGCCTTGAGTCCCCCTTGGGGTGTAAAAAGGGTGAATAAATAAATAATAAATAATTGTGCAGTCCAGGGATGAAACCCAACCCAGAGGGATGAGGCTGGCCAAAGCCTGAGTGGGCGTCTAGACTGGGGGGATGAATGCGGAGCAAGACCACTTGGTAGTTGCGGTTAGACACAAAAAAATTGGTCTTCTCCAGCCAAAGTAGGGTTGGACTATGCTAGGTTACAAGGGATGAAGAGCAGAATATAAATGTTTCAAATAAATAAATATTAACCCAGAATATCAAAGCTCAATATCTGCTTTGAATTGGGTTATTTGAGTCCACACTGACACATATCCCAGTTCAACGCAGTGGGATTTTATAGATCTGTGTGGAAGGGGCCAAAGTGCTACAGTGTGAATGCATTCAGTGGAGACCCAAAGAAGCCCATGGGGTTGAGATAAACTCAAGGGTTTCTGTGGGAAGAGGGATCCTGCGGAGGGAGGAGGCTCCAGGCAATGGAACAGCGTGGGGCTTCAAGCTGATCCATTATCCACTGCACACACCCCTCCCCCCCTTTCTAGGCTTTGCCTTTTAACCAAAGCGTGTCTCCTCCTGGCCGGTTTGTTGTATTGTTGAAGGCTTTCTTGGCTGGAATCAGGTTTTTCGGGCTATATGGCCATGTCCTAGAAGCATGCTCTCCTTACGAATCTCCTGCATCTATGGCAAACATCCTCAGAACTCAACCTTTGAGGGTGCCTGCTATAGATGCAGGCAAAATATCAGGAGAGAATGCTTCTAAGAACATGGCCATATCCTCAGACCTCGCAACCTCTGAGGGTGCCTGCCATAGATGCAGGCAAAACGTCAGGAGAGAATGCTTCTAGAGCATGGCCATATCCTCAGACCTCACAATCTCTGAGGGTGCCTGCCATAGATGCAGGCGAAACATCAGGAGAGAATGCTTCTAAAGCATGGCCATATCCTCAGACCTCGCAAATTCTGAGGGTGCCTGCCACAGGTGCAGGCAAAACGTCAGGAGAGAATGCTTCTAGAATATGGCCATATCCTCAGACCTCGCAATCTCTGAGGGTGCCTGCCATAGATAGAGGCAAAATATCAGGAGAGAATGCTTCTAGAACATGGCCATATCCTCAGACCTCGCTTCTCCTACCCTGGACATTCCACAGATATATAAACCCAATTTTCCTAGTTTCCAACAGACCTCACAACCTCTGAGGGTGCCTGCCATAGATGCAGCCGAAACGTCAGGAGAGAATGCTTCTAGAACGTGGCCATATAGCCCGAAAAACCTACAACAACGCTATCGTTTGTCTTCCTTCCTTCTATCTTCCTATTCTCAATCCGCCCTCAACTCAGCAGCCAAAGCGATATTTTTTCTCGTGTTAGCTCACTCCCGGGATTCGAACCGCGGACCTTTCGGTCAGCTGTCCAGCCGGCACAAGGGAGAAACCCATTGTGCCACCGAGGGCGATGCCTCCGCGCCGGAGGACCGCCCCCAGCGGCTTTCCCAGGAGCCCCCGGTGGCGAAGTGGGTCGCAGGTTCGAATTCGGAGAGAGCGCGGATGAGCTCCCTCTGTCAGCTCCAGCTTCCCATGCGGGGACATGAGAGAAGCCTCCTACAAGGATGGTAAAACATCAAAAATATCCCCTGGGCAACGTCCTTGCAGACGGCCAATTCTCTCACACCAGAAGCGACTTGCAGTTTCTCAACGACCAAAGAGCGGCTTTCCCTTCCGTCCCTCGCCGTTTTGGGAGACACCAAGGGTTTCCCTTTTCTCCCAAAGACTCGTCCCCGCAAAGCCCAAGTTTTTGCCCTTCAAGCTCCAACAGAACCCCCCCCCCCCCCCCACTGCTGACTTTAGAGGCAACCTCCAGTGGCCAAGCACCCCCTTTCCGCCTCTCCCAAGTGAATCCTCCCAAGCCTGTCAACGATTTAGTGGAACGCCTTAGTTTCTGCAAAAAGGCTGAGCACAGCCCCCGGGAGCAGCACGGCGATCCCCTTTCCTCTTCCTCTTCCTCCACTTTGGCAACCTTTGATGCCTTCCATCTGTGCCATCCGGACACAGCACAGTTTCCAAGAGCGAGACCTTGCCAAGGCTGAAAGTTGTGCCGGTCTCCCAAACGCGGAGATCAAGAGAGAGAGCCTGAGGGGGATCCGAAGCGTGCCAACCCTTACCTGCGGCTTGCGCTCGGACTCCGGATCCAGCCCAGAAGAAGCAGAGGAGGCATCCCCAAAGGAAGGCGAAGAAGGTATCCATTGCGAGATTGAAAGAGAGGGGATCCTCGGCGGCGGAAAGCCCTTCCCTTCCTTCCTTCCTTCCAAGCCTTGGATCCGACAAGCCGGAGAGGGAACTCCTTCTCCAATTCAGCTGCTGATGAAGACGCGCTCCGGGAGTGACACACACTCACACTCACACACCCCAACCCAAAGGCAGCCCGAAGTGAGCGAGTCCGGGGAGAAGCCTTTCCGGATGGCGAGGGAAGGGCTCGCGCTGCCTTTGCCTTTGCCTGCCGCTGGGCTCGCGCGCCGCCTTTTCAGGGCCGAGCCGCGTGCGGATGTCAGGCAGAAAAGGCAGCGCTCTCCGGTGACATCCACGCGCGCGCGCCCAGGGCCCGCCTCTTCTGGGTTGCCGCCTTTCCACCAAGGGAGGGGCCACGGGGAGGAGGAGGAGGAGGAGAAAGAGAGAGACACACACACAAGAGAGACGCGCTCCTCGATCAGGACTCGAACCCAGTCCTTCTGAGCTAGAGAGAGAGAGAGAGGGAGGCTGCCTGAGCAACAAGTCCGGAGCCTCGCCCAAAGCCTGCTGCTGCTGTAGAGGCGAGTGTGTACACTACACAGCTTACTGCAGATCGTCCACGCGCATACACATCTCAATTGGGAGGGGGGAGGGAGGAGAAAGGAGAGAGGGAGGGAGGCGCCCCTGCTTCACAGCTTTCTCCTCAAGTAAAACACCATCCCGAGCTCCCAACGCCACCCACACAAAGAGAGAGAGACGCAAACAAGACTCGCAAGGCTGGCAGGAGGCGCCTCGCCGCCAAAGGATGCCTTGCTTTGTAGTGCAAACTTGCCAGGCCTTCACTCACTCTTGGGAGAAGGCGAAGCCAGTCAGACCAGCCAGGGGATTGGGGTCGTCAAGCAAGGGAAAAGGTGGCAGGGTCGCAGGGCTAGAAGATGGCAGGCTTTCTAGAACTGCCTTCTGGTTTAGTCTTGCAAAAATGCAAGACTAAATTGAAGCTTCAGGCCCACAGACCTCAAACCATCCACATGGAACTACAGGTAGTCCCCGAGTTACAAACATGCAACTTACAGCCAAGTGTTCCAACCCTTGACAGGGAATACAGACAGTCCCCGAGTTACAAACATCCAACTTACAACCAAGTTCTTGTGGGTTTTTTCAGGCTATAGGGGCATGTTCTAGAGGCATTTCTCCTGACGTTTCGCCTGCATCTATGGCAAGCATCCTCAGAGGTTGAGAAGGTCTGTTGGAATTAGGACAATGGGTTTATATATCAGACATCAGAAGAGCTGCAAGACCAAGAACAAGCCACGAGAGTAAAGATGAAGATCCACCCAGAGGAAAAGTGTTCCTGCCATACATCAAGGGAACCACTGACCGCATAGGGAAGCTGATGAGGAAACACAACATGCAAACAATCTACAAACCCACCAAGAAAATCCAACAAATGCTACGTTCAGCAAAGGACAAGAGGGATCCTCTCACCTCTGCAGGAGTCTACCGTATACCATGCAGCTGTGGACAAGTCTACATAGGGACCACCAAACGCAGCGTTGCCCAAACACGAATCAAGGAACATGAAAGGCACCGCAGACTACTTCAGCCAGAGAAGTCAGCCATAGCAGAGCACCTGATGAACCAGCCTGGACACAGCATTTTATGTGAGAACACGGAAATGGTGGACCACTCTCACAACCACCATGTCAGACTACACAGAGAAGCCATTGAAATCCACAAGCATGTGGACAATTTCAACAGAAAGGAGGAAACCATGAAAATGAACAAGATCTGGCTACCAGTATTAAAAAATTCTAAAATTGCAACAGCAAAAACAGCAGAGAGGAAACAGGCAGGGACATCTAATTACCTTTCAAGAAGAGTTTGCTCCAGGCACAGTCAGCCCATTGTATGCTAATCAAGGTGGTCAGTTGAAATATTCACACCTAGCCCAACTGACAAAAGTCCTTTGTCTCACCCTGGTCATTCCACAGATATATAAACCCTTTTCCCAGTTCCAACAGACCTCACCTCTGAGGATGCTTGCCATAGATGCAGGCGAAACGCCGGGAGAAATGCCTCTAGAACATGGCCATATAGCCCGAAAAACCCACAAGAACTTAGTGATTCCAGCCATGAAAGCCTTCGACAATACATCCAACTTACAGCCAATAATAATAATAATAATAATAATAATCTTTATTTATATCCCACCACCATCTCCCCAATGGCGACTCGGGGTGGGTAACATGAGGCCAAGTAGTCCCTGACTCACAAACATCCAACTTACAGCCAATAATAATAATAAACTTTATTTGTACCCCGCTACCATCTCCCCAATGGGGACTCGGGGCAGCTAACACAAGGCCAAGTAGTCCCCGACTCACAAAGGAGTCCCTGACTTACAAACATCCAACTTACAACCAAGTGTCCCAACCCTTGTTTGGGAATACAGACAGCCCCTGAGTTACAAACAGCCAGGTTACAGCCAATAATAATAATAAACCCCACCACCATCTCCCCAATGGGGACTCGGGGCAGCTAACATGAGGCCAAGTAGTCCCTGACATCAGATGGAAAGGAGACTCCACCTGAACATTAGGAAGAACTTCCTGACTGTGAGAGCTGTTCAGCAGTGGAACTCTCTGCCCCGGAGTGTGGTGGAAGCTCCTTCTTTGGAGGCTTTTAAGCAGAGGCTGGATGTCGGGGGTGCTTTGAATGCAATTTTCCTGCTTCTTGGCAAGGGGTTGGACTGGATGGCCCATGAGGTCTCTTCCAACTCTATGATTCTATAATTCTACCTCTCAACAAAGGATCCCCAAGCAGGAAGCAGACAGATATTGAAGCTGCAAGGCCATTCAGTGCTAATCAAGGTGGCCAATTGCAACATTCACACTTGCCTCAAGCAGACAAGAGTTCTTTCTCCCACCTTGGACATTCCACAGATATATAAACCCAATTTTCCTAGTTTCCAACAGACCTCACAACCTCTGAGGATGCTTGCCATAGATGAAGGCAAAACATCAGAAGAGAATACTTCTAGAATATGGCCATACATCCCAGAAAACTCACAGCAATCCAGTTTCACTCTTGGTAAAAGCAGATTATAAGATGACGGGGACATGAGCTGTGCATATGAAGTTATTTGCATGTGACACTAATGGCTGGGAATTCAATACAGACATACTTTTGCTGTTGTCTGCCTTCAAGTACTTTCCTACCCTTGGGGGTATAATATCATGGGGTTTACATGCCAAGATCTGTTGAGAGGGGGAGTGGCCTTTGCTTTCCTTTGAAGCTGTATCCTGTCAAAATTGGCCATAAATCACTCCCAGTTATTTGTGGAAAGGGTATTTTTCCACCCCTGGGACTTTGAGGGACCTTGGAAGTAATTGTCTAATCTAGTATCTTCCAAGAATGAGAATTGTCTGGGTTGTTTTGAGTTTTTCTGACTGTAGGACCATGTTCCAGTAGCATTCTTTCCTGATATTTGGCCACCATCTGTGGCAAGCATCCTCAGATATTTGTTCAGGGGTCTGCTGGAAATGAGGAACATGGAGTGTATATATATCTATCTCTGTGGGCACACACACAGTAGTGTGTGTGTGTGTGTGTATACACATATACATATACATATATATACTATATATATACACACACATATACATATATGAACATGCAAATATATATACACTCCACTTGCCTCATTTCCAACGGACCTCTAAACAAACCTCTGAGGATGCTTGCCACAGATGCAGGTGAAACGTCAGGAGAGAATGCTGTCCCATACAGCCCAAAAAACTTACAACAACTCAGTGATTCGGGCCATGAAAGACTTCAACAGCACAATGAGAACTGAGCTTTGTAAGTTATCCCCCCTTTTCTTTTCTATATGCACACACAGACACACATATATATATACACAAGGCTTTCAATGGGCTGTTTGAAGACACAATTGAGGGGTTAGGGCAGCATGTAGGGCTCACGTCAAACTTTCCCTGCCTCTGTCACAGCAAAATGGTGTGTGTGAGCAATTGGTGTGAGTCTGTGAAGTTGCACACTACTGAAAAACTTCACAAAGTGGTTTTGATAGTAAGATATCCTTGTGTCATCTTTTTGCCTGGTGCCAGCCATTTAGGGCATAGCAAAGGTGGAAAGATCAACATCCCTGCATCCACAGACCAGGAATGGGAGTCATGAACCCACAGTCTTATTCCAGCATAGCGAGGGACAAGGAATGCTGAGAGCTGCAGTCTAGCAACATCTGGAGGGCAAAATCTATACTTTAACCACCATAACTAGCGAAATGACCTTAATTACATGTAAAGTAGTATGGTTGCAGGATATATATTATACCCAGACTTGGGAGTAAGCTCCTTCTTCTCATTGGGATTCACTTCCAACTATGCAAGGATAAGGACAGGTTGTGGTGTGCCTGTGTTCAGGAAAACGATGCACTGCCCTATGGATTTGCAAGGACATATGGGAAGAAGTGACCTCCGATATAGCTTGGGGTCACCTGCTGTGGTTTAGATTGTCTCCTTTGCCCTCCCAAGTGAAAGGTAACCAGGGAGCATTCAATGCTAACGATCCACATCATTAAAATAGTGTTCTTCTTTGTTATTGTGATAAGGACAGGCATTGATTTACTGTTGCATGTTGTACATAAACATCTGATGGGGATTGTGAATAATACTTCCCAAAGGTTTTGGTTGGTTCTCAGTGCAAAAATATGAAAGGATACTATAAGGAAAGGAAGGAAGAAACTGGGGAAAAGAGCAGAAGAAACCCCTGTTTTCATGATACTGTGGCAATAATTATTCCCCAAAGGGTTCAGAAATACTTACCAAGTTGAGGAGCTGGCTGGAAGAGACTGTTTCTTGTTGATCTTAGCTTTCCATGCATCCATCCATAAATCCATTCTCCACTGTGCATCAAACTGCAATTTAAAAAAAGGACTGATGCATTTCTGCATGGATTTTACCTTAAAATGCATTAAAATTATTTCAAGCATATTTATGGTTAAAATATTGTTTCCTGTGTAAAATTAGGTATGTTTTCAACAACTTGTTTTTATTTATTTATTTATACCCTGCCTTTCTCTACCTCAAGGGGGACTCAAGGCAGCTTACATATGGTAAGTATTCAATGCCTTAAACACATACAACATTAAGCTTGAAATCCATTGGATCAAAATGAAGACATATTAAAAATACATTCAATATTAAAATCACGCCATCCAAAAATTGTAGTCTGAGGCTGTTCTGTAATCATTGCACATATTCCTATTATATTATATTATTGCACTGCTTCTTCAAAGGCCTGGTCCCAGATCCAGGTTTTTACTCTCCTTCTGAAGGCTAGGAGGGAGGGGGCTGATCTAATGTCGCTAGGGAGGGAGTTCCACAACCATGGGGCCACCACTGAGAAGGCCCTGTCTCTCTTCCTCACCAGTTGCACTTGTGAAGAAGGTGGAACTGAGAGCAGGGCCCCACCAGA